TGAAAACCTATTATATAAATGATGACATGAATATTATTTCTATAAAATAGATGTACAAATTTTAATTAAATTTATAAATTTTTATTTTCATTTTAACTTGAATATGTATAAACTAATAAAAGCCATTACTAAAACAAAATATACATAGTTATAAAATACGAGTTACGGATATATGTTGTATTTATCTTTTTATTAGCATATTAAAATAAAAAGCAGGGTAATATTTTCACTAATCCGGAAACTGTTAATAACCTATATTTCTAAACGTTGACTTTTTATGATTTTACAATTTTACAATTTTATCTGTAAGTCTGCTGCTCTCCAGGAGGATCCTTAAAAATTCTGGCTACATTTTAGAGGCAGTATCCTTTAATGAATCCAACAATAGGCCTTTGCATAAATCTACCAGTAGGTGGAGTAGATACCATAATTTATTACCCAAGAACAAGGACAAGGGAATGAAAGTCAGTTTATTCGGAATAAAACAAATCTGCAAATGAGATTTTCTTCAAAGGAAATATGTCCTATATGTGTTAGATTTAGTTTGACTGGTTACTGAATCAAAATAAATAACTTTATTAAATAATCAATCTTTGCAGGAAGATAAATTAAATTTACAAATGGAGGCAGTGTTTGCATTTTACTTATTCAAATCAACTAAAATTAGCTTTCTTTTCATAAAACTTTTACAGGGACAAAGATTTTTTTGATGTGTGCATTTAATAAGGGCGCTAAAGCAAATCCTGTTTTACAGGTGATCAGGTGCATAACAAATAGTATTTTCTGGGAAATATAATTGACTAATCCTATTATGTCTGTAGCAACAAATTAACCTTATTACTACTAGTAAATGGTGATTGATTATTTATGCAAATAAGTTACCATGTTCAGCTTTCTGATTGAAATAAACATATACAAAAGGTGCTTTAATATGACTTGAACTTTTTAATTAATAAAACCCTGAGGGGTCTATTAATTCATTCATTGCAATATTAGTTATTTACTTGTGTAATTCCTATTAGCACTAACATATTTACTTGCATAAAGATGAGATAATTAATATCAGTAAAAATTAGTAATAGATTGTAGCACTATTTTAACATACACATTAGATTTGTTCTAAAAATGGGCTTAAAACTGACTTTAAAACTATGTTATCAGTATGAGTATGTCAGTATATCAGCATAATTGTCCTACAATTATTAACATATTAACACATGATCTGATATATTATCTATATGTGAATTCACAAACACAATTTAGGCTTATGAAATTCTTCACTTTTTCAGAAGCATTATTTGAATTAATGCGTTATTTCTACTCATTTAAGTTAAGCTATATTAGAAATATGAAAATTAGTGTTCTAGAGACTGTATTAATATCATTCCTAAATTAATGAAATCACCAATAAAGCAGTGTTTCTCTCCTTGCTAAAAGTGTTATTAGAATTATCCCATTTAAGCAGGTCAACAAAACTGTTCCTATCCTGATATACTTGTTATAAAAATCATTTATACTTGAATATTTATTCAGTAAATTTTCAAATATCTGCACAAATTGAGAGTTAAAACTCACCCAAGACTTTCAAAATACTCAATTCACATTTGGCTTTTATTTTGTACTTAAATGTGTATTTAGTATAGTTTGAAATCAAAACTCTTAAAGCAAGCAATGAAATTAATCTGTAAACATCTGAGTCAGAAACATTTTTTAATTTGCAGCTTAATTTCTCCCCACTAGCCAAGTCATGCTGAGAAAATCAGTAATAATACTCAAACTGAAATATGTATCTTTCATTCTCTGAGTCTTCCTTAGGTTAAGGAAAGTATTTAAAGTTTTTTATTAAAATAAAATAGTAAATGGAATTAGTAAAATCATAAATATAAATGGTGGCTAATTTCAGTGAGACTACCTGTGTAAGGTGTAAGGGGGAGTGGCCAAATTCCTTTCACTAAAGAAATTTGTTTACCATCAGTCTGAAATTAGACTGAATGCTCCTTGTGGTTAAGGATCATATAGTATACACTTCTATGTCCTAGTTCTAGTAGAGTATCAGAGGTTGTAGGTACTCAAAAGCGTGTCCTTTAGAGAAATTAACTGTGCATTTTAAAGTTAAGATCTATGTTTACTCTATTAAACCTTAGAGCTGTTTGTCTCTGTTTAGGTAAGGATAAATTATTGCACATTTTTGTTTAGGTGAAGATGCTTTACAATTGTGACTTATAATAATAGTTTTAAAATTTAACCATTTTTATATCATGATGAAAAATGCTGATATAAAGCTAAGTAAAACAAATCTGGCATATATAAGGAATAAGACACTGGAAATTTCCAGTACTATCCTCTCAGTGCAACTAATCCCCTGCCCACAGTAACCAGATGAGACTAGAATGATATCAATATTCTATTTTATTACCAAAAACAAAAAGAAAGTTTGCCTTGGGAACTAGAGCGTCTCCATAGGTTCAAAGGGCTGTCCTGTTGTCTCTAGTTACTTGTGATCAAATATTAAGATCACCATGACAATATATATCAACTTGCGAGGTCCAAAGGAAAATCCCTGATGTTTTTATAATATTCCTCTCTAAGGGAGGTGATTTGAGAACATCATTTCCTCTCTATTTGCCCTCAGGTCTATGAAGCCAGGTGTAAAACGGGGGTGGGGGAGGAGACAGCATTATAACGATTTCTGACTAATTTCCATTAATCACTAAAGGAAAGCAAAGAAAGGAAATGAAAAAATGAATGTTTCCAACAGCTAAGACAAATAGAAGAAAATGAAAGTGTAGAATCTTAGTTTATCCTTGACAGGTTAAATCCTAATAATATGATTGTTATCAATTACTCCATGCTCTCTAAGGGCCTGGCAGTATTTTAAATATATTACATTTAATCCTCGTAATGTTCTTTCAAGGTGCACAGTGAAACAGGCTCAGGCAATTCCAGGTAATCTCCTAACATCTTACCCTAAGTGGGGGAGCTTGGATGTCAACTTAGCTCTGTCTGATGACAATGCCCATACTCTTTCTACGGTAATACAGCACCTCAAAAAATAATCATTTTATTGGATGCCAGGGATTTCTGGAGACAAAGGATCATTAAACTAAAGTTTATATGTCCATATATAAACAAGAAGAAAAATGGGCCAAAGCATTGACAGCTTGTATTTGTTAACACAAACATAACTAAAACACAATGGAAATATTATTTGAAAATTCATGAAAGTCCGTGAGTCAAGTCACGTGATCAAGTTTGTGAAATAATTTCTTAAACCAGGTGCTTAATTTTAAAACTGAAATGAAATCAAAATAGTTAAAGAAATAAAGCTTATAAAGTATCTACCATATTCTCTGGCATATAGTAAAAACTCTGGATATTTGCTACTATGTTATTTTTATTAGTAAAACAACTATGTCTTTATGGACTTTCTAAATTATTTCACTACATACTCAATATCTAAATAACCACGGATAAAGCAGAATTAATCAATGTTTCAGTTAAATCTGATTTCACCATTTTAAAACTTGCTTTCTCTAATACACTACTTATCATAAATATAAACAGCACAATTAGACCTTAGATTAAGAAAGATTCGAAGTATAAAGAGGGTTCAGAGTTATCAGAATAAACAATTGTACCCAAGAATTATTATCAAGTTTAAAGAATTAAAGAATATATTTATAGCCCCCTTAGTTTCATAAAAATTCAAATTACTAATAACTAAAGTTAAAAGAATTGCTGAAAAGAATTATTGATTTGTAATTCTATTTTTTAAAAAATGTAGCCCACCAATCATACAGCTAAAATTTTTACATTGTTATGGATTTCATAATAAGAAATGAAAATCCTTTGACTTTCTATTTTTAAAATTATCTTTAAATTATTGCCTAAGTATTTAGAGTCGAAAGACCCCGGTTTGAGTAAGAGATCTCTGACTGCCAGCTTTGCGTCTGTAAAGCAGTCGCATAATTATCTCTGAATTTCAGTTTCCTGACCTGATAAATGAAGATAAATCAGCTATCCAAATCCAAGTAAATATTAAGAGAGTCATCACTGTGGAAAAGTATTGTCATCAAGACTAACAAATAGAGGCTAGGGGTGCAGAGGTCTCTGTTCCAAAGGCACATGGCCAGTCCAGTACTTCACATGTTTCTGAACTTGGCTGCCTCTAAGGATGACATTCAGTGTCAGATGTCACCCTCCACCACTGAGCCTTGGCTTGCTCATGTCTGAGACATCTGACAACGTGACTCTGGCTAGAACTATGAGACTAGACTTGAAAGTCTATGAGAAAGAATCAAAACCCAGAAATTGCTAGTTTCCTGCCTAATGCTCAAGTAACAAAACTCATCTCAACTCCCAAATTCATGCTTTTTTTTAACTGTATTTCTTTGTGAGCAGAATATTCAACATGTGATGTATTTTTTCTTAGCAATCATGGCAAGATCGGAGGCACTGAAATTTTACTGTATAAGAAAACAAATTTCTAAAGTATTCCAAAGTCCACATTTGTATCTCTAAATGAAGACGTAATTGCTGAGGAAGTTTTGTTAAAAGCTTTACCTGAAAACTGGCATTAAAATTTAGAAAGGGTGCGGGAATGGTTTTAATCTCAACGTTAGCTCAGTGAAAAGAGAAAGCAGGAAAGAGCTGGGTTTAATAACCTCTTAGTTCTTGATCAATTCGCAACACAACAATAAGCCACTCAGAATGGGCTTTGAAAGCGAGGTGATGCCCTTCGTGTTGTGTTATCACAGTGGCAGATCACACTGCGGACGTGGACCTTTCTGCCAGTGTCGCAGAGGCTGCCTCTATGAAGCTGCTGTCACAGGCGAGTTTGGTGCCTGCGCGCACCTGCACAGAAGCACGAAATTGAACTCGAAGTAGTGTCTTTGTGATATCTTTTCAACAAGTCATGTCCCATTCAGCCTGCTAGTTTATCTCTGTCAGGCGAGGGGCCCCAGTGGCTTACGGGAGCTGTCAGGCACAGGTAGACCAACCTGCTTTGTGCTGAGGAGGTAATGCATCTTTCGGGCTTGGTAATCTCTTTTCTTCTCTTCCCTTTCCAGGGCGGCCTTCTTCTCTTCTCTCTCTTTCATCTCTGCAAACTCCTCCAGCGCATCCCTGTATCAGAACAACCCGCAGTTATTTCTGATACTGAAAATCTGCTTGCATTTTAATTCTTTCATTGATAATCAAGTAAGTTTCTTAGGGGCAGCCATCACCCACAACCGTCAGAATACGCACATTCTAGGGGAATCTTTGCAATCTTTAAAAAACACGTGAGTGATTTCTCAGTGGTTAAACTTTTAAAATCAAATATCTACATATTATAATTAATTCAATAGCTGAGGAAATGTATCAATGCAAAGTAAGTAAATTATTGTATGATCATTTTCTTTGGTTGAAGATTAACTATTTTAGACATACTTAAATATCCCAAGGAAACATCCAAGTTAGTATTTCCTTTAAATTTTGATTTTGTATTTACAAATCTCTAATCATTTATTTTGTATACTAACTAATGGGCTAATTTAAAAAGTGTGACACGCTTTTATACATACACTTAATTTATTGTAAGTTTACTTCAGTTAACAGTTCAAATAGTATCAACATGATTACATACATTATTTTGCACTTGAAAGGTTGACATTTTGTCCAATTATATATATATATATATATAATAAGAATAAAAGCTAAATTAGGTGAATAAGTTCACAGCTTTCTAAGTATAATAAATTCCATTAAAATGAAACTTTTTCATCATTTCTATGTGTGTATCTGAGAATTTTAAACAAAAAATAAGTTTTTAAAATGTGCTATGTGAAAAGCAGCTGCTAAATATGGAAAACAAACCCAAACAGGGAAAAATAAATCCTTTATTTTCATAGAACAAATTTAACAATTCATGTTAAAATAATCTTTTGAAATTATTTTTTATTCTTTTAAAATAGATATGTAATTTAGTGTCTAGTTCTACAAGTAGAATTTTAAGTAAATCATCTAAGCATTTATGTGAAAGATGTTAGGGGAAAGTTGGGGAGAATTCCCGAAATAAAAAAAGATTCTCATTTCTACTTCAATGTCCAGAAATATTTTTGTTGCGATTTTCTGTTCAAAGCTACTAATACAATACTTCATACAAGGTTACTTATGAAACACACTGACGTTTAAAAATCACCATGCTATGCTCTTGCAACAGAGCAATTTTTTTCAACATAAGATTAAATTGCAAAATAAATGAATTACTTGGAGTGGCACGGCCCTCATTTTGCCACCCTTCTCTTGAAAATTGCTTATTAATATGAAAAAAGGAGTCAGAAAATAGCCTGTTTTACTTTATGCATAGTATTTTGGGGGCTTCTGCGCCCACAGCGCTGGGCTAGCTGCACATTTAGATTGTGTTGGCAAGCTGGTACAATGACCTCTCTGACCTGCATCTCAAGGCTATTATTAATCGCTAAGTAACCTGGTAAAGCCAAACAAATTTGTTTCCATTGAAAGGATCTCTATCTGTGTCTGAGAGTTTGTTCTGTACCAAACAAACCTCATTAACTGTGTCCATTTTTGACAAAGAACTAGGAGTTAGAGGGATTGGTGACCTTTCTTTGTCCTTAAGGTACAAATTTCAAGGCGGTTACATATGAATAAACGAGAATTTTTACCAGGAAAAATAACAATCATCTGTTACATAAAAAAATGAATACACTGTTAATTTTCATCTTTACTTTTGATATTATGTAACAAAATAAATATTTCCTCTATAATTTCTCTTATAAGTCTTTAAGATAATTTAAAATAACCAATGAACTGTCACTATAAGGATAATTACTCAGATATGCATGTATACAATTTATGTCACTCCAAAGATAATTACAATAATTTTCTGAGCAATAAAATAAAAAAATACTTCTACAGAGAAGTTTATGCTCTCTAAATGATTTAATGAATACGAAGAGATCTTACATAAGAAAGAAAAAAGGCTCTATGTAATTGAACACACACGTGAGCAGGTAAGGTATAAAGAAGTACATAGGACTGGATACAAAATCAAAACTGTAAATTATTTGAAGTAGTAAAAACAGTCCCTCTTCAGGATATGGAAATGGAAAATAACAGTGTGTACTGGGGAGCTTGTCAAGGAAAGCTGAAAGTGAGACACATGCAAGAGAACATCAGTTTCTAGCAGATAAAGAAAACACACAGTAAACCCAGCAGAAACTGGGGAGCCCCAAAATAAATCCAAGAAACTTGACAAAACACTAGAAAAACGAATTTGGGGTAATCTCAAAACATAAAAGTAATTAATTAAATAAATTCATACAATTATTTTAAAAATTCAATCTTACATTCCTAATTGACTTATTGCCCTACTTGAGAGTACTCAGACATGTTGAACACCAGTTATATTTATGTCAAATTTTTTTTGTTGAGTGACCAAGTAGAAAGAGCTGAATAAATTATTTATTCTTGATCTACAAGTTTTTGTTACATCAAGAGGGCTGAAGCTATAGCTCAGTGTAAAGGATGTAATAAAAAAATTATGATCCCATTAAAGATTAAATGATGGAAACCATTTTAAATAAGATTCTGTACAAAATTATAAAAATTATCCACTTTTTATCCAGGGATTTTTTTTAAATGCAGTACTTTTAAAACACTGAAAATTTTTTTCCAAATAACTTCAGGTTGTTTTCAATATATTTTTTCATTTCAGGTATATTGTCTTATTCCTATTCTCAGAAACGCAGTCCTGTGATATATATGGGATAGGTGTTACTAATTACCCTATTTGACAAATATGGAGACACAAAGAGATGAAATGACCTACTCTGAATAGCAAATCAGTTAATAGCAGAGATGGCATTAGAATTCCCAGATTTGCAGATTCTCTAACTCCAGACCAAGCCGTAGTCATCCTGATACAAGAAATACTATGCAGAAGATACTTTTTATCGACTGAACCACGCATATTTTCTTTTATCTGATGATTCTGTTTTCTACTATATAGTTAAAGAAACCTGAGTAAGTCCCAAGACTTCCTGAATCAGTTTTCATATGTACAAAGCATTTTGTGATAGTAGTTTAAAAATAAAGGTATAAAATCAAAATAAAATACTTATAAATAAAAGAAAAAATTTTTTAAATTACTGACCCTTTTATAAAGTCTTGCATATTTGAGTAGATCTTGCTAATGATATTTATAATGAGAACAAAATAATTACATATGCTAATAATGACAGAAATAATAAAAAGAATAATAGCCACTTGGAGGCAATATAGAAGAGCAGTTTATAGCATAGACTCTGAAATACCACTTGTTTATAAAATCTCTGCTGTGCTGCTTACTAGCTGTTTAATCCCTGAGTCTCAATATCCTTATCTATAAGATGCAAATTAGTCGTATTAGTATCTTCTTCATCAAGCTATTGAGAGGATCAAATCAGTTTATCTATGGGAAGCCCTCAGAGGACGGCTGGAACACACAAAGCTGGTACCTAAGTGTTAGCTATTTATGGACTGTTTTCTCTAGCCAGGGACTAGGCTATGTGCTTCATCTACTCAACGGGACAGGAATCTTTCATACTTTCTCAAATTCCCTCAACAATCCCCTCCTTTCTCAGTCCTGGTCAATGTGGACTTTGTGGATGGAATTCCACAATGCAGAGAATCTGGCTTCCTAAGAGACATGGGGTACACCTTGATCAGAGGCAAACGGGAGATGGAAGAGAGCCATGCAAACAAATGGCCTTTTTCCTGTCTTCCATGGACTACTTTGAGAGGTCTCCTTGCCAGCCTGTGTGGCTAATGACAGCAAGCACACCTGGGGCACTGTGTGGAGTCACCGTGGGGTTCTACATAGAGTGGTGGCCAGGGCTGCGGAAGCGCATCATATCACATTCCTCCCTACAGGACTAAAGCACCCAGTGCCCCAGATGCCGTGAGTGTTGGCGGCTGAAAGTTCACAGCGGTACCCTACTGGAGAGCATCAGCTGCCCCCTCCCCCACTCATGTGCATCCCATGACTGGTGACTGAGAGAATACACAAGCTCAGAGCCTCTGTCTCAATTTGGGACCACTCTACAGACACATCCACATCCCACGCTTCCCAAGATTGGCTGAGTGAGACCTCTGAGGCAGTTCAACTTCCCCCTCTGCCCTCCTTCACTCCTTTAGAGATGTTATTCCCCAAAATGCCCCCCCAATAACACTCATGAACCAAATCAGAGCCTGTTTCCATCTATGACACTTCACTCCCCTTTTTCCTCATCCTCACTGCCCTGGGCTTGAACCATCCTAATAAAGTATTAGCAATTTAATCCTTGACTTACGTTCTATTTCCAAGAGGTTCCTGGCGAAGACCTAATATGCATTACCTCAATTAATCCTTCCACCGTCCTCTGAGGCAGGTATTATTACTCCCATTTTCTAGATTGGGAAATGAGATTCAGAGGTTACATCTCTGCCCAAACTCTCAAACTAGAAAGTGGCAGAGCTAGAATTTGAATCCAGGTCTGACACCAAAATTCACGCCTTTGAGCACAACACTACACTGAAGTCATGTATTTTGCCCAAATCCAATATTTTATGTAGATATTAATACTACCTTTTCCTCTGAGAAGGTAACTTTGAATACTGTAGTATCCATATTATTTTCCCAAAGTACACAAAAGGAAAAAGCTGCTCTGTTTTGGAATAATTTAAATGATCCGGCACTACTTTCTTTCCTCATCACATCATAACATTCTAACTGGATAGCTGTTTGTGACTATGCAATATACAAACTTTTGCATTTGCAGCCACAGATCTCCTCTCTTCCTTAAGATGTGTTTTCCATTAGAAAACATCTTTTGAGTATGGAAAGAACGCTAAGGTACATTATACTAATATATAAAAAGAGACTGAAACTGAAAAGATGCTTAAAAGCTGATTGGCACAACCCAAGTAAAGAACACAGACCCACAAGGCCTTACAGGATCGGCCTGCTTCTCTCTCCATCTCACTTTATGGCACTTCCTCCCGTGATTACTATGCTTTAGTCACAACGGCTATATTTCATTTCCTAGCAAACAATTCATTTCTACCTCAAGGCCTTCACTTACACTGTATTTTCTGCCTTAAAC